CTGAATATAGGAAATTGATTAGAGCATGGTTAGTAACCTCTCACCTGCTGACATCAGCTGTGAGATCATGGCATGGCCTCTGCATCTTAATAAATGAACTTGTTTTCATAAAGGTCTGTGGGAGTCCACAAGAATGTTTGAGAGCCCTACTGACCAGAAGTTCACCCTAGAAAAGAACAGAGTACACTAAATTGTGTATGAGCTCACAAAAATGGTTGGATTAGCTCTCTTTTAAAAATAGTTGTGAGAAATAACCCACTTAAGCAGTTATTGAGATATTTTCACTGAGATCATCACAGCAATCTAAATAAAAGCATGGGTCGTGGGGATTGGATTTTTTTGGAAGTGTTTTCTAATTGTTTCAGTGTAAAACCAAAACCAAACTGACTTCAAATCCCTAAATTTTGCACCAACAATTTTTAGGTCTTTCCTTGAAGAAGACAAAGGCATTAAAACAGACCAGAATCTGGTGGAGAAAACTTAGGGCCCACACCTGTGAGGGGCATGGCAGAACAGTGTCTGCCATTTTATGGATGTAACTTATGAATTTCTGTCTGCAGCCATTTCTAAAACCACAGGAAATTTCATGGGCTACACAGGTAAATTAAACATTGTGATCTTGCAGTCTCCACCTTTTAAATTTTTTTTTAATTTTAATTTTTAAAATATTTTCTTTTCTACTGGCATCTGTTTGTGAAAATTAGAGTGGTGGTGGGTTTTATTGGAGAAAATTATCTGAAACCAGGATAGTAACTCTGCTTCAGAATGGTAACAACTCTAAGCTAAAGATCTGATGGTTGCTACCAAAATACACCATTTCATCCATCTCTTCTTTGCTTCCTGCAGTAATAATTTATTTTTTTTGAATCTGAGTTTAAACTTCAGGTAACAGCTCATCACTATATGAAAATGTCAGTCCTTCACAGAACTTTATTTAAATTCTTGTCTGGGAAGTCTGAGGATGTCACTCTCCCCTTGCTTTCTGCCTCTCTAAAATAACTCTTTGTAATTTCTGCTACATTTTTTATTGAATTATAAACTTGGATGTTTTAACTCTATTGCAAAGAAATACTGTCCTCTACAGAAATTCTCTAAAGGAAGTTGCAGTGTTTATTATGGTTATTTCAAATATTGAACAAACTGAGAAGAAAAGCTACAGGCAACTTATTGGTCTGTTACAAGAGGTTTGATATTTACAGAACGAGCTAATGCTATTTTGCTTTCTTTAGTTCTCACAGGCAAAGCACTCTTTTGTTTATGGATTTTTTTTAGATACATAGTAAAACTATGTGCATTTTATGTTATTAATAACACTCACTGCTTTAGAATTGAATTCTATTCCAAAGAGGGGAAATACACCCTGAATGCAAAAGTGAAATAATCTGGATTGAAGTAGATGTAGACTTCTATTCCAGGTTGGAATTGAGCTGAATGTTCACATGGATGTGGTTTGGATTGTATCTGTCCTTAGGAGAGACAAGAGTTTTGGACAGCAAGTGTCAGTGTTCAGTGTTGTAGCACTGGCTTTGGTGAGGAACTGCAGAAAGCTCTGCACAGAGAAATCTAAGAACAAAGAGAAAATTATTTGGACTTTTTAAAACTAAGTTTTTCTCCTTTTCTTTGTCGTTTTTTTTTTCTTCTTTTCCCTTTTTCTGTTTTCTTTTTCTTCTCCCTCTGCTCTTCTCTCCTTTTGGTTTTTTGAAAGCTGGATATCAAAAACATGGCATCAATTACAAATTCCAGACATAATGTCTGTTGAACAATAATAATTTTATTTCTTTATTGTTAAATTTGCAAAAAAAGAAATCCAAGTTAAAACCTCAAAATATTTCACTGTTTCTGATTATTTAGTTTGGTCAGATCACCTGTGTACCAGCACTGGTGTATGAAGTCTTACAGTTACTTTTCAGGAAAATGAGAATTCAACCTTTATTTGGATTATGTCCCCCTGGGGTTATTTATTGGGGGTTTTTAATTTGATTTTTTTCATATCAAAAGTTCCACCTGGGTCTCTTTGATGTTCTTTGTAGTAATGACAGCTTTGACCAGGCTAGAGGAAAGAGACTGGAGAGTTAAATCATGTGTGCTGGCAAAAGAGTTTGATAAAAACCCTTATTTTTTGCATTACTGATACATTCTTAGCCTCCAGAACTTGCTGGATTTTGAAATGAGGTCCTGTAAATTCCTGATTCCACATAAAATTTAAAAGGAAAGAATGTGCAGGTTTCTTCTGTGAGGTATAATTTGAAGTCTGCCTGTAAATTGTTTTCAATTTTTTTTTATTATTATTCTGCATGTTAATATTGCATGACAGGCCATGGCTGCTCCTAGTGATGCAGAATATTTCAGTCTGGTTTAGGACTGGTACTTGACACAGCCATCTACACAGTACTACAATGATGAGAGGTTCCCTTATTGAAAAAAAAAATTATTTCCAACTCTTCAGAGCTGCTGTGTTCAGTGTGAATAGTTTATACCCAGAGGCATTAGCAAATATCCATCCTTGTGAGAGTGACCTCTGAGAAGTGATACAGCCTCTTTGCCCATGGGTATCAGAGTTTATTGACAGCTACTCTCTAAAAAAAACACCAAACAACCAAACAAAACTCAAAATTACTTCATTTAATATGATGGAAACAGCAAAACACAAATGCTGCTTTGGGAAATCAAGCTGGAGATGACAGAGACCAGTCCAAAAAAGGCCAAACTCCCCTCAAATCCTTGGGTTTGTTAAAGAGCCAGTAGTAGTGAGGAATTGGTGTTTCTTGCCAGTCTACTTAAACTGAAAATGGAGAAAATCCTTAGGTGGATGAGAGGAATTGGACATTGGAATGTGATTTTTTTTCTTTTTTGACCCAAACCCCAGCAGAGCCCTGCCCCAGTGTCTGCCACTCCTCCTGCTGCATTCACAGCCTTCCTTCCCCACGGGCAATGGGGCTGGCAGAAACCAGGCTGAGCTGGCCTCCCACCATTGTCACCTCCCAGAAACCTTGCACAGCACTGGACAAGCTGTGCTTTGTATTTTCATAGCCTGAGGTAATTAGTGCCTGGCATCTGTAAAGAAAATCAAACGCACAACACCGGAGTCTCTAAGATGACACCGTTTTCATTACAGGTTTAATTTTGCAAAGAGCATAAAGGCAGATACATCAAAATGCCAAGAAGCCTCTGTTAATTAAAGCCTCTTTTTCTTTTTCTTCTTTATATTTGCATATGTATTGAGCCATTAAAGAAAAAGATAAAAGGAACCCCAAGACTGTTTATGCATAGCCTTTATGACTGCAGCTACTTAACTTTGCAGGAGACATTATTTTGACTGCAACAAAATAATGTTCTGTGGCTTGACAGAACTCAAGGCTGCTTTGCAGTGCTCCAGAGGCAGACAGTGACTGGTGTTGGGAGGTTTCACCTTCCAGAACAAATCCTGCACCCGGGTTTTATGCAGTGCTCTGCCTGTTGTGACATTCTTATACCCCACTACTGTTCATCATGCTTTGGTTGGCCCAGACTTGGGGGAAAAAGAATGGATTACAGCTCCCCTCTGCAGTGCTGAAGCTTCCTCTGCTACAGCTTAATACCCACGCTCTGTTTGATTGTTTACCATTCATATAATGTACCTTTCATAAGGGACAAATTATGTACCTCCTCCTCAGATTAACAGTGCGTTATCCTTGGAACAGAGGATGGGCAGAGTTGGCAGCAGGTGAAAAGTTGCCTCTGTCCAAATCACCAGCATAAATCTCCCAGACTTCTTATCCCAGGATTTCACCTCAGAAGCTTGGGATCAAGGTTTGTGTTATTTAGTTGGCAGGACAGCTTTTGGTGGGTTTCACTGAGGTTAGTTAATTACCCTGTAACTTTTTTCATCAGCCTTGAAATAGCAAGGACATTTGGAGCTGTGCCTCACTGTAGATGCTGTTTGGCTTCTCTATTCCAGGACTAACGGCCAAATAAGTTCAAGTAAAATGATCCAAATTTTACAGTGCTTATTCTGGTAAAATTCACTGTTTGCTTTCCTTAGATAAAGGTTAAGTTAGAACCAGATCAGGGCTTTTGGGACTGGCCCCTTAATAGCTGAAAGGAACACTGGAGCTATCTAATGGAAGATCAATATGTGAGAGTCAGTACAAAAACCACTATATTTGCTTTTTCTTTTTTATTTTTTTTTCTTATATATTATCTACAAGCACAAGCTTTCATATTTTTAATGTAAAAATGCATACAGATCATCATATATATAAAAATCAACTAGCCTTGTAGCAAACTGCCAGATCCAACTATCCCCAGGTTGGGGACAACCTGTCTGGATCCAGGTGCAAACCCAGTGGCTGATCTTCACTTCCATCTGTAGTTGCACCAAACCCCCAGATACAAAGATTCTCAAAGTTCTAGGGAAGTTTTGGGTCCTGATCCAGGTCTTGCAGCACGGGCATGACTAACTCTTCATCAATTGAAGATAAATATTTAAAAAACTTCATAAACGACAATCAACTTGTTGAAGGTAACAAGTATCCCTTTCACCTTTTCTCCCCATTTTTATCTTCTTTCCCATCCTCTCACTGCAGAAATGGCAGCAGGCAGAGGAGAGAAATTCATGTTAGTGTCACATACACACAATTAAACAGCAGCAGGAGAAAATTTAACACAAAATTCAACAGAATTGAATCTGTTGATGTCTGCTGCAGAAAGGCTGCTGAATGTGGGTTCATGCTGCACTCAGCCTTTTCAATGCTTGGGCAATTTTGGGCTCAATTTGCACATTGTGGGAATGTGAAAGATTTATAACATATCCATAATAGGTTGCAACATGGTGAGAGACAGTAGATCGAGTTGCATTTAATGCTGTGTAATGCATATCAACAGAACTCTATTCAAGGAAAAAAATTAAGGAGCAATTAAGTAAAGAGGTTTGTATTTGTTTTAGAGGAAAAGTTATAAAATGGCAGCCTTCTTTTTGACCAAGTGTTTATCTTGTTTGCAGTTTTCAGATTCAGTCTTTGAGAAGGAATGTTACTATTTTTATTGTAGGTTCTTTATGTAACAAGGGATATTTGTACAGTGGAACATTTTATTTTCACCAGGATTTTATAATTTATCCACACAGATGTTACAAAAGAAGATATAATTTGCTGGAAATCTTTTGGAAAGTATGCGGGCTGTAACTCAGCCTCTCCTTCCTTTCATCTCTCCTCGTATGGATATGATTAATTATTTTCTCTTGTCATTCATATAGAACCTTTTTGTATTTTAAATGCAGCTCCAAGCTGAACCCCAAGAAAGGATTTTCAGATAAAAGAACTGTTGAGGTTTTCTAAGAGGGATGAACCGATTGCTTAGCATACCAAAGCGAAGACATGACTACGTTGCCATGGGATTGCAGGTAAGGATTTTGTTTACTTCAGATACGTGTACCAGCACTGATTTGAAAGATAACAGAACCCCAGTGCTTCAACTTGCAAATGCTCACTCTGGCTCCTAATGTAACTATATTTCTGGCAAGTTCAGTCCCTCAGCTAAAGAATTCTGGTTTGTGAATAGGCACTAGCTCACTCTTTTACACTTGTGTTGATTCTACAATACTAAAAATGGCAAAACCTCTATTTTTCTCTTTTTTAATTTTTTTTTTCTTTTTTAAAAAAGTTAATGATATGATGAGTAGTTTGGGAACAAGTGTATCACAGAGGCTTGTTGCAAGGACCCCCTGCCCAGAAAGCACATGGTGGAGTTTCCATTGCAGTGTGTCCAGCTGATGGACAGCAGCACACGTGAATATGAGGACCAAAATATAGACATTCCAGGACAGTGAAATGAGTTTTTACCACCTAGAATACAGAAGCAGAGAAAACAAACAACAGCCCAAATAAAATATACATCTGAACGTGATGTTCTTTGCTGGTTAGGGAAAAGATTTTCTAAAAAAGTACTTTGGTAAAATACCTTTAAGTGAATACTTTTGATAGAAGTCGTAATTTGGAACATTTCTCTGTTTGCATGGATATACAGATCTGCCTCTTCAGCCTGTTTCACCACTTATATGGCTACCTATAGCTCTACAAAGTGATAGCCAGATAGATTTACTCACTTTCCTACACCTGTGGCAATTTGCATTTGGTAGGCTTTTGGACTTATTTCCTCGCAAATAACCACATTAAGTACAAAGCACTGGAGAGTAAAGCTATAAGCAAATGCTCCAAGGGGGCTGTTCCTCAAAGGAGAACACTGCCAATTTGTCATCCCAACTCTTGGTTGTGGTTCTACATGTTGATAGTCTGAGCTGCCCAAAGGGATGCTACACCACTGGTGGAAGACCAGCACAGTCCGAATTAAAAGCTTCCAATCTTGGTTCTTGCATCTTTTAGCAGTTAAGAAACCATCTTGACAGAGGCAAAACTTGGCAGCTGACTTGAATGAGATGATGAAGGAGAAGGAAAGCATTGGACACCTTTTATCCCAGGCACCAAAATCTGATAAAATGTGTTTCCGCTTCAATGTGCCAGATAAAAGTTACAAAAAACCTGCACTGCTTTATTATGTTTTTTTGATATGATAGTGGCCATTCAGATCTGATTTACCTTTGGGCTTAGACTTTAAATACTTGTCTTCCCAACAATTCAGTTCTTTGGCATAAAACTAACTAAGAGGAACTACTTGAATCAAAAAAAAGACCAAAAAAAAAATCAAAATCTAAATACTAACCATAGCTAAATCAACAGTAATATGGTTCTTTTTTTTCAGTTTGATTTCCCAGCACACATGCTCCCATTTCCCCAAGCACAGTGCAATGCTTTGAGGGGGAAATGGTGAAGTGCTGCTGGACTAGATGATTATTTCTGGAGAACTCTACAGTTTCAGAGGAGCTGGAAGAGCAGCTGAACTCTAGCTCTCTTGAAATGTGTGTCTAGCTGGCTAAACACTCCAGGAAATAGAGCTTTTCTATATTTTTTGCATACATTGCTAAGAAGATCAACACTCATGGATTTGACAAAAATAACAAGGAAGGAGTGAAAGCATACAATGAGCCAACTCAGAGCTGGTGAAGGTGTCAGGTGAACGTTCTGTTTCAACACAGCAGCCTCTACACATATTCAGTCCTGGAGAATACCAGTTGTGATGGTTGTTGATGGACTGAGGGCTGAATCTTACTCTGCAATGGCTGCTGAGCAGCTGTCTGGCTGGAAGTGATGTTTAGGCACTACTGACTTGCAGGGGATTGGAGCTAGCCACGTAGAAGCAGAAGATTCACTCTTGGTTGCCAATCCCCACAATTGTCTAGTCATTTGGAGTTCATTTGGTGTTTGTTTTTTTTTTTCCCCACAGTAGTCCAAAGCAGTGTGGCTAAATACATTTCAAAACAGGAAAATAGTATGATTCCGTGTTACTCAAAAAAGTGGCGGTGTTTGTATTTTTGTAGTTTTTTTTCTTCATTGCAAAGATTTGACCACTTCTCATTAAACGCGCTCTGCTTGCCCCATCCCTACTCCAAGCTAATACGCTCTAAAACACTTCTCTGGCTTAGGAGAGCTCTTTTTAGCTGCTGATTTTGGTGAGCATCTTATTAATGGCCTGCTTGACGTGGGTGGTGGAGCTTCGCCTCCGAGTCTTGCCCTGGACCATCTTGCGGCGCCGCACCTCGCGGCAGAGCTCGTAGAACGCCTCCATGATGTTGCCCTCCCCCGTGCAAGCGGAGCACTCGTAAAAAGCACACGCCAGTTCCGTGGCCAGCTTTTCACCTTCCTCTGTGCTGACTTGCCTGGAGTGGTCCAAGTCTGCTTTGTTCCCCACCAGGATCAGGGTGACGTTTTTGGGCTTTTTGACTTCGTCCAACAAGTTCTTAAGCGGCAGCATTTCCTCGAAGCTGCCTCTGTCCGTGATGTCGTAAACCAGCACGAAGCCCTCGCCCCATCGCACGTGTCCCTCTTTCTGAATGGCATCCTCCTGTTCAAAAAGACAGAAGAATGCCTTAGGAATTTGATTTATGAAGAAGACAGCAGGCCTTCAGAGGGCTGCTGATCCTACAAAACTGTGTGCATCTGCTTTGTTCTATACTTTGCTCACATCACCTTTTTTATCGCGTGGCATACGAGATCTGTTTCACCCAGTGCCATGACCTGCTCAGGCCTGTGCAGCACGTACACCTGCCATGTTTTAAAAGGGAGACCTGACTATGACAAGTCTGCTCTTCTTCAGAGAGCTGCTGGTCCTACAAAGCTGTGTGCATCTGCTTTGCTTCATACTTTGTTCACATCTCCTTTTTTATCACGTGGCATAGGAGATCTGTTTCACCCAGTGCCATGACCTATCTTGCCTGTGCAGCACATTCACCTGCCATGTTTTAAAAGGGAGACCTGACTATGACAAGTCTGCTCTTCACTCTAGTAGGAATCATTGGCTGATATTGCCAAGCTCCATCACTTAACTGTAGAAATAGACTGTGACTTTGTGCCTACTTGTTGGGCTGGCCCTGAATAAAAAGGCGTGGCAACAAAATAGTTTTACCCCCAGAGTAAACCCCTTGACTTATTTGTACTTCCAAGCAGGAACCCTTTCAGAAGAGTGATTTATGAAGAAGACAGCAGGCCTGCAGAGAGCTGCTGCTCCTACAAAGCTGTGTGCATCTGCTTTGCTCTATACTTTGCTCACATCACCTTTTTAATCAGTGGCATAGGAGATCTATTCCACGCAGTGCCATGACCTGCCCAGGCCTCTGCAGCACGTCCACCTGCCATGTTTTAAAAGGGAGACCTGACTATGACAAATCTGCTCTTCACTCTAGTAGGAATCATTGTCTGATATTGCCAAGCTCCATCACTTGACTGTAGAAATAGACTGTGACTTTGTGCCTACTTGTTGGGCTGGCCCTGAATAACAAGGTGTGACAACAAAATAATTTTACCCCCAGAGTAAGCCCCTTGACTTTTTTCTTCCTAGCAGGATCCCTTGCAGAAGGGTGTGGATCCAGCATGGGGGGAGGAGAGAGGGGGTTCTGCCAGAAGCAAATCTGTGTCCCCAGAGGAGGGCATAGCTGCCAGCCCCTGCGCTGCTGCCACCACCACAATTTCCTGCCCTGCTGCATACCCCAGCAGAGCTGCTGCTCCTACAAAGCTGTGTGCATCTGCTTTGCTCTATACTTTGCTCACATCACCTTTTTAATCAGTGGCATAGGAGATCTATTCCACGCAGTGCCATGACCTGCCCAGGCCTCTGCAGCACGTCCACCTGCCATGTTTTAAAAGGGAGACCTGACTATGACAAATCTGCTCTTCACTCTAGTGGGAATCATTGGCTGAAGTTGCCAAGCCTCATCACTTCACTGTAAAAATAGGCTGTGACTTTATGCCTGCTTTCTGGGCTAGGCATAAAGAATAAACAGGCAAGACAACAAAATAATTTTATCCCCAGAGTCAGCCCCTTGACTTTTTTCTTCCTAGCAGGATCCCTTGCAGAAGGGTGTGGATCCAGCATGGGGGAGGAGAGAGGGGGTTCTGCCAGAAGCAAATCTGTGTCCCCAGAGGAGGGCACACCTGCCAGCCCCTGCGCTGCTGCCACCACCACAATTTCCTGCCCTGCTGCATACCCCAGCCAAGGCACTGGGTAGCAGCAGCACATGCACCCACGCACCTGGCCAGCTGTGTCTAGTATCTCCATGGAAACCACTTCATCATCAATGGTAGCTTGGTGACGGTATGTCGACTCTAAAATAAGAACACACGTTGGAAAACGTATTAAAAGAACGTAATTTTCCTTTTTTTTTTTTCTTCCTCGCAGATCTCCCAGCACAAAAGCACACATGTGACGTGCAGTTTGACTAAATTTCCTTTGCTGGAGCCCTTCCAGCCATCCTGGAGCATACTCAAGTCCTCTTTTCTAAAACAGCAGTACTTACCTCTCTTTATTTCCCCGTGGGTTAGACCTGCAAAAGCCTGGAGGATGCTGCAGTCTGCACCCAGCAAAGGACAGTTTGCTGTGGCACGGAGCTCTGCAAAGCTGTATCCCATTTTTCTTGTTTGCTCCCAGGAAAGGCTGCTACCTTTGGAAGACAATACCACAACTCTCAAGCTCAACAGTGTGTCCCTGCATAGCTTGTTGATCAAAACCAGTATGGTTGCACATCAAGGAACCCAACCACTAAGCTCAGGCCTTATACTGTGAAAAAATTACAGACCAGTTAGGTATGTTAGGAATGCGTGCTTTAAACATGCTGAAATCATCACATTCCCCTCTTCTAGCAAGGGATCAAGCAGTGATTTCCCTGTTTATGATTTATAAGGGTAACCAGTGGGCATTAAGCATTTACACAATGGAAAAAGAGAAATCAACAACCCCATTTACTGTCCCAGGTTTTGGAACCAAGCAAGTAATCAGAAAACTAATGACAAAGCAGCTTGGTTTATCTTAATAAGCTGATAAGCTAAATTTGATAGCATTTGACCTGAAATGTGGAAAACTATCTGTGCTAACATTCAGATTTATTACTGCTGCTAGCTCACAGATGTCCTCTATCAAAAGACAAATATGAATGCTGTAAAAGTCTGGCCAGTGACTAGGAATGCTTTGCATTGTCAGAGACACAACTCTTTCATTTGGTGCAAATCTCTTTGATAGGAACAAAGGATATCTTTTTAGGAAACACGTCTTTAACTTGAACTTCTGCAAGGGCTGGTGTTTTGTGAATGCCTGTTCTCATTATTCCTTTAATAATGTCACCTCTTCACAATCAGGAATGTTTCAGTGCTGTTGGTGCTGCAAACAGTCTCTTTCCCAAACCAAAAATTCACTCCCTCCTTGTGCCACCTTAATTGCTTTAACAGCCCAGCTGTCTCTAATAGGGACAAATGGTCAGTTTACTTGGGCAGATGGCAAGCAAGCTTGCTGGAGGGTTTGAGGTCATGAAGACTGGCTGTCTTAAAGGTTGTAAATACCCATGCTGGATGGTATTTCCAGGCTGTTGAAGGCTTTGGAGTCTCATCCTGTGGCTATACCTGCCCAGCAGAGTGAGGTATGTCAAAGTCCCTTGGTGGAATGTCTTATCTGTGCCTTCCACAGCCTCCTTGCTGCAGCAATTCCCTCAGGGAATGCAGAAAGAGCAGCAAACTCTGGTTTGGTGTTAGAGCTGCACCTTCAATGAGTTATTTCAGTGCTCAGTGCTGGGTTGGGATTGTGTGTAGTACTCCAAGTGTAGCACTCCAAGCTCGAGGTTATTTAGGAACTTCTGCTCTGTTTCTTTGGGGGAGGGTGCTGTGCAGGAGTAAGCAGTGTGATTTTACTTACTCTGAGTAAGCAGTGTGATTTTAGCTCCTTACTTGCTAAGGCTTTGCAGTGCTCATGTGCCTTCAACCATCTGGCCCTGTTTGACAAGTGGCTGCTGAGAATTTTTCCACAGAACCTGAGAAAGTGCTCACCCAGCCATGACTGCAGGATATCTGTGAAATGTCCTCAGGAGGCAGGAGGGGGTTGGCCATCCCCTGAATTTTATAATAATATAATAAAACTATAATATTATAATATAATTTATAGTAATATAATAAAAATATAATATAAAATCCTTGAGATTTGTTCTCCCTATGAAATGCAAGAATAAATCTCATGGAATAGACTTTTGCTCACCATGCAAAAGCAGCATGAATCTTAAATTATACTTAACTTCTCAAAATAGGACTCTGGCAGCCCTTTATGTTGCAAGTGTAACTTTCTTTGGCTGCTCATGTTGGAATGGAATTTGATATTGGATGAGTAGCACCGATTTAGGTCAGATTCGTGTAAATAAATCTTCCTAAATGTGTGTCTGCTCCTGTGCTCTGGAATGTGTGGTAGCTGGGTGAATTTTAATGAGGAGTGTAAAACAGCTGGAGGTTGAAAGCATTTTTTTGCAATCACAGACATGGCTTCTCCTTCAAGGGAGCAGAAAAATCTGAAGAATCTGGTTGTCTTGTAAATTATGAGCCCTGAAGATGTGAGTTCCAGTCTGCTCACATTGATCTCATGGTACAGCACAAAAAAATTGCCTTGCTTTGGGATTTGTTTGTAAAATTTTCCTTGTGGTACTGCCTTTTTTTTTTCTTTTTTTTTTTTTTTTTTTTTTTTTTTTTTTTTTTTTTTTTTTCTTTTGAGACATGTAATCAGAGATTAACTACAGGGCTTGAGATTACTGCTGGAGCCCTGATTGAAACAAACCACTGACAGCACAGGTGCCTGTGTCTCAGCTGAGCACCCTTGACTCCCATTAGAGTTGATGAAACAAAATAGGTGCTGGTGGATATAACTTGTCTGAGCTCTCTCCTGGAATAAACTGCACCTCAAAAATACTGGGAACTCTAAAACTGGTCAGGTGAATCCAGGCTGTAAAAGTTTTATGCTTGCATCATCATGGTTAAATAGAAAAAAACAAGGTGCAGCACTCTACCAGCAGCTCCCAAGGTGATTTTAGGCAACTTTCTGCACTTCAGACTTTGCTTTGCACCAGGTGTTGCCTATTTTTCTACCTCCAGCTGTGTGGCTAAGCCCTCAGAGATGGAACAGACACCAGAGGTGTGCTTTGCTCACAACAAACTCAGAGCAGAGTCAGGGAACGCTCTTGGTTCTCACGGTTCCAAATTCAAGTTTATTTCAAATAGATTTAGAGCTCTCAAAAGGCCTGAGAAACATGTTGGAAAGTGGCAGCAGTTGGTTTGGAGCCACAATAATTCATTAATTAATGAATTAATCAAATGACCACAGCTGCTGAATAATTGTGGAAAAGTTATTTTGCAGGAGAAAAAAACAACTTCCCTGGGGGTTCTTGCTGTTGATAAGCATATTACAAATATCTCTATTCTTCTGAGCAGTATGATTTAAAAAAATACAGAAAAAACCCCTACCTTCATACTGAAAATTTTGAAGCCCATGATCCACAGACTATCTATGGATGAAATATTCAGTCACAGCTTGATCACATCACATCACATCCTGGCACTATGCTTACTGAGACACTTTTAACAGAGTTTTGGCCTATAAGAGTTGGCTGGCCATCTCTCGAACTTTTGTTTTGTCCAGCACTATCCTGCTTTTTTGAGTGTATTTGTTCCAGAATATTGCAGTTTGTCGAGAAAAACTATTACCTGGAAATTAATTTCTAGATTTTGAGTTATATTTGCAGTGATATAAAAAGTCTTAGTGATATAAAAAGCTGTTTTCAATACTTTTTTATGTTGAACCAGCAATATATATTGGAATTTGTCATAGCTCTAGAAGATAATATTTGCATGGTTGTTTCTTGCTTTTGTAGGTAAATCAGGTGCGATGAAGCAATAATATTTTACAGCAAACTTAAGCCAGCCTGGTCTCTTGGTTGCTTTTAAATACAGAGGGACACAACCTCTCTTTCCATACAGAATTTTAGTTGATTTTTTTTTTTTGTCAATAGAGGTTACTAAAACAAGGCCACAAAAATGCTTTAAGAAACTTTGGTCTAATGATGATTTTCAGCCAGGTGGATCTTAGAAATGCAAGAGATCCAGAGAAAGACTTTTTGTGTATTGATTACAGCAGTGTTCAGACCAAAAACCTCAGCTAACAGACATGAACTTTAAAATCGTGGTTAAATTCCTGTTGGATGGCAATGTCTAAAAGACTAAAACTCCCCATAATTAGTTCTGTTAACAGAATAAGTGCTCTTGTTTATTGTTTGGGGTGGTTTTGTTGGTACCTCACTACTCATTTACTCCTGAAATCTTTGACACCCATCAGGGGCACCTGTCTGTCACGTTTGAGAACAGTGATAGCCCATTGGGGGGAAAAATAAATTAATATTAACCCTGGTGTTGTTCTCCCAACCCTTCCTTGCCCCAGTCCTGGTGAGGTCTGTCCCCCCCTACATTTCTTGCTGCTGTAGGTACTTTTCACATTTTAGAAAGGCCCTGTAAGCTGAGTGCATCCTCCTGACTCAGAAAGTCTCTCCTGCCTTCTTCCTTCCTCAGCCCCAGCTTTTCTCAAAGCACAGTGGAATTTATTTTTCTTGCTTGCCTCTGGCTGTGTTCCCTCTGTTGTTTACCTTACAGGAGGGTTTTTATTTTGCCACCAGCAGTGGTTTTACAGTACCACAGTATAACACAGTACCATGTGTATTTAGCACATATTTCTAATGCTAATGCAGCATAACCTCATGTGTCTCTCCATTATTATCACAGAACCCCAAACGAGAAAAGTGGGGTTATTTATTAATAATACCATCAAACAACCATGCCATTGCATCATTTTTATCATGTGTAAAAGGAGAAAAACTAGTAAAAATAATGTGGCTTTATGACTGGTAATTCTTCAGTGTTGTGCTGTGCCCGTGTAGTCCCGAGAGTCAGGAAACAGGGAAGGAAAAACTCCAGGAGGTTGTTCACTCCCCATGGGTGTTATGTGCTCTTAAAGTGCAGCTGTCAAGCTACACAAACACTCGTGTCAAGCTACAAATTTCAACCCAAACGTGGATGAAAGAAGATACTTGTTGGCAGAGATGTTTAACCCAGGTCTGGAGTCTGCAGCCTGCTTCCCATGCAGTGGGTGCTGCTTCTGCAGTTCACGTGGTGATGTGCAAACAGGTTTCTTTCCAAACTTCATTTCTGGCTGCCCTCTCCAAGGCCACCTTTGCCAAACTCAGATTTGTGACTGCAGTTCTGCAGGTGTTCCCAAGCTGGTCAGGTCAAAGCTGGGCACAAAAGGAGCCGGGTGGGAGGCACTGAGGGCACTGTGCTGGCTCAGCTGCTCCAAGGGCCTTTTTCACCTCTGAGGTGAAGCTCTCAGAGGTTTCTGTTCTACATAAATCAAGGCTGGGTGAGGCACAGCAACCCTATTCACATCCCTAAGTGTTAGAGCTCTAATTACAGAGAATTTTAGACTTTCTGTGCTAATAGGCACTGACCCCCAAGAAAATATTACATTTGACCTGAGGCTGTAAAAAAAGCTTCCAAAATTGAATGATAAAACTAAGATTATAAGTGTGCAGTTTGAATAGAAGTGTGTAATATTACATAGCAGATAACTTAGAGTTTAAACTTTTAGAATATAGTAACATATATAAAGCAAAATAGAAGTTTTAGGACAGTGGCTAGTCCTTCCTCTTCACCTTCTTCTTCATAGGTTTAGGTAGTATTATATAATTAGATAAAAAGTCTGCATTGTGGGCCATGAGTAATTAGTTATTAAATTAAAAGTAAAAATAATTTAGGTGTAATTTGCCCCTTAAACAGTTTATCCTTAAAAAGCCTTGTAGAAAGAGAGATAGAGCTCCATTTTTGGTTTGTTCAGTGAAGTGCTGCAGAACTCACAGCTTGTGAAACTATAATATAAATAAGAACTAGTAAACATCTGAGTCAGAACAAGAAATAGCATCTCACACATTTAATCCCAACCTTAGCAAAAAACTCCAAAACATCCATTACCTAAGGAGGCACAGGGTAGTCAGCAGGCAAGAGCTTCTGCACCAGGCAGGATCTGGGGCTGTCCCTGCTCTGTGGAGATGGGCAGAGAATATTTGTGGGTGACCTGAGCAGAGCTTCAGGTACTGTGAGGACTCATGGGGCAAAGGATGCTCCATGGAGCACAAGGACACATGTAAAAAAAACCCAGCCACTGTAGTGGGGAATATGGAGAACAAATCCAGGAGGAATCAGGCTTGATCAGGTTGCTGTTTAGTGAGAAGTTTGGTTTTTATAATGTTTTTAATTTTTAATTAAGTGGGAAGGTAGTAGATGGCTAGTGTGTACATAGCCCCAGTAGGTATAAAGTTCTCATCTTGGTGTGAGAGGTTCTGTTGCATCCCTGGAATTTCCTCTTTTCAGGTAGAACACATGGGTAATATAAACCTGGTCTAGAGAAAATAATTTTTTCTTGATGTGTTGATATTTTCAATAAATAATATATTGGCCTCCAAACAGAAACTGTAGAATAGTTTTCTTGAAGAGGACTCTAAAAACAATGAAAAATATCTTTGTTTGATACCTCCTGCTGAATGCAAATATGATTTTTCTGCTGCATGGGAAGAATGGGTTTCTTTTGGGAAGTGAGGTGGTGTTTCTTCTCCTTTCCTATAAGTTCTATCCTCATTCAGCTTTTACTGGGGTAGGCAAAGAAACTGTGGGCAGGTACCTGGAACAGAATTCATCAAGGCATGCTAAAACCAAACCAATAAAGCCAGAGCAGTGCTAACAAGCAGGGAGTAAGCTCAAAGGTGTAAACAATTGTTGGTTGTTTTGGTCTGTTGGTTTTTTGGTTTTCGTTTAATTTTCTTTCCAATGCTTGGAAGGGGTGTTGGTTCTTGGTAGGAAATACGTCTCTGATAAATTTAAGGCTAAATAAATCATATTTTGCTGTGTCTTTTTGTCTGATTGCAGCAAGTCTTTGTTGGTGAAGCTAGAGTTTTACCTTACTTCTGACAACAAAAATGAAAGCTAACCAGTGAGAATTTTCTCACACCCAAAACAAGTAGCACAAAAAGCCTTTTCTCCTGATGGAGCATAGGAAAGCACTGGAAAATTCTGCCATCTGGGAAACATCTCAGAATATGATGAGCAACAAAAGTAGGGGCAAAATATTTTGCAGCTGTAGCCATAGCAAGAACAGCCACTGCCATTCCTGAGTTTTGCTGTCTGCTGAGCTACTGTAAAAAAGCAGTATTTTTATTACTGACATCAGGAATATCTTCATCTTGAGACTCATATGAAAGAAAACAAACCACATTTTCAGATAACTGCTTCCCTTGTTATTGTAAGCATCTTCTGTTGCTGCTCTCAATTACAATTTCATCATTTCAAGACTTTGTTGAGAATTTTAGAAACCAGAATTGTTGTTTTAAGGTGCTTTAGGCCATATGAGTCCATTTCCTTAGAAACACCTCAGAGAAACTGGGAATACTTTCATGGCTCATTGCTATAATACATTCAGTATCAATTCCTCCTGCTGAAGAGCTCAGTAAAAATGATGCAGCATATTAAAAGTATATCAAGTTAAATAAAGTTTCTGCTGTTTTGATGTAGGAAAAATGTGATCACAGGAAGATGCCTAGGAAGGCAAAACCTAGACTGCTGAGGACTGAATCCCTTAAGCACCGAGGCAGAAGGAATGAGTAATTTTGTCAATAAAAATCCAGGATACGACTAGCTGGGGTCTGGCTGGAGAAGAAGGCTGTTTCCCAGTGATTTATGAAGTGCCTACACGTTTGTCATGGCAGCCCTTCCTCCCAGCCCCAAATGCTGGTTACCATTAGAGCCCACTCAGGACCACGTGTGTCACTGCCAGCCTGTGCTTGGACAAGCTGGAGTCGTCAGCACGGGCGTTGAGCTGAAATATGCAGAAGGAAAAGTTCTGCAAGAGGGTGGCAGAACTCCCTGCTCCATGTAGGAAATGGTTATTTTCCATCACGAGCTGCTTGCAGACTGCACTGTGCTGTGGGGCTGCTTGCTTTCCTTCCAGGGCTGTCAGCCCTGGCACCCAAGGGCTGGAGGGGCCATCAGTTCATGATTTATGAACACCTCTTTCACTCTGGGCTGCTCTGTTTGCTGGCTGGGCAGTTTCTCCCTCTGCTGCAGGGTTTTTGTGCTGGGGACAGGCAGTGAAACCTTCAGGAGTGCTAGGGCAAACTTGCTGAGTAAGCCACCAGCCAAGAAAACTAAAAAAAAAGCCCACAATGCACAATGTTTCTTTAACTTAGGATCTGCAGCGGGGATGGAAGCCCAGGGATCAGGAGTTTGTATTCACATGGTATTCCAGCTGTCCAGACAAAGCTGAATAAACCAGACAGCAAAGACAATCCTGGAGAGCTGTATTTGGACCTGAGCTCTTTGTCATGGCTTCAGTGGCACAAAGTTGTCCCAAAAAGATAGATATTTTATCTTCTCTTGCTAGAATATATTATAACATATTCTAAATTGTACTAAATAATATATAATTAAGTAATACAATATTATAATTATATAATATTACACCGTTATATAATTTATATATTTATAATATATTATAAATATATATTTATACGGTTTTATTTATTTATATTAAATCTAATATTTCTATTTTATTTTTAAATTAATAAATATATAATAAATTATATTAAATAACTACACTTCTACTCTTTAGTGAGGTCTGGATTCCCACAGCTAAGCTGTTTCCAGTTCTCAGCCATTTTAATGAAAGCCAGTTTGGATATATTGCTACTTTGCTGTTTATGCTGTTCATACAGACCTGTATTCATCCAGTGCAGAAAACAAACTCAGGCCAGCGTTATTTGCTAGTTTTGCCATATTATTTATATCCTCTATGGGACCTCTACCCTTTCCTTGTGATTCCTGATTGATACTGTTTTGCTAACAGAACCCCCCAGCTATAGATGTAAGAAAAACTGCCCTTCTAATGTAAAAATAATCATCCTTGCAAGAAGTTTTGCGGTGGGAAAAGCCTCCTTGCCAGTGTAAATACCTTCACAAAATCGTTTCTGCTGTTCTTGCCACTGTGGTGTCATTTGCAAGTCTTGAGCTCGTCTGTAGGAGATTTAGTTTTCTGCTGTGGGAGAATTCAGAGCTCTAAGAGACATTCCTGTCTCCTTCCTTCAAGCAATTTTTACAACTTTGTCTCCTATCTTTCTTGCTTTCCTGATCCCTACACACCTTACCCATGTTTGGGGGCCTCTTATGGGCTGTCTGTATGTGGCATTAGAGATGACTTTATAGAAACACTGTTCAAGTGTTTTATTCTGCCAGGGGAGAAAAAAGAGTGAACAAAAACTTGTAAAGAAGTTGTGATATAGTCACAAGAAATGCTTTTCAAAAATGTCACTATTAATCTAGCAGTCCTGTCAAAATTATAATTTTTTCTTAAAACCACCATTTCTTACAGTTACCTCTATTCCTTTAAAGTAGTGAAGAGTCTTCTCTCTATCCCTTTCAAATTAAATAAACTTTGCTTTCTGTCTTTCTTTGCCTTCATACACAATCTGTCATGTCCTGCTCTACTGATCATCTGCTGAGAGAGAGTTTTCTTTTCCGAGGATTGCCAAAGTCATATGAAATGTGTGAATAGCTGGAGAATGACATCTAGGGGCAGTGTGAGAAAGCCAAGACACTTTTAGAAAGGTCAACAAAAACATAATCTCCTTGTTTGCTGATAGAAGTAGATTTTTGTTTCAAATCCAGGCTTTGCTTGGTGTTTCTGTGTGCCTTTGATGAATGACTTAAATGTGAGTATCAGTTACTCTAAGGATTTGCAACCTTTCTGTAAGATGAAGGATTTTGGAGGTGAGACACAGAGGCAGAGAGGCTGCAGACAACAAATCAGTTAGAGAAACAAGAAAAGAACTTGGAGCCTGTCTCCTGCATTTACCTGGGGTTTTATTTGTTTGGGGCTTTTTCCTATATAGCAAAAACTGGTGTTTAAGTCCTTGAACCTCAGGAACCCCTTGATTCTCCCAGCTATACATAAAAAAATGACAAAATATAGTTTATAATATTCTCGGGGGGGTTTTTGTTTGGGGGTTTTGGGATTTTTGTTGTTTGGGTTTTTTTTTTTTTTTTTTTTTTTTTGTTGGGTTTTTTTTTTTTTTTTGTTTGTTTGTTGGGGTTTTTTTTGGGTTTTCTTGTTTTGTTTTGATTTTTTTTTCTCCCAATTCTTGGATACCCCAGCTCTGTTTTTAGTAAAGCAAATTGTTCAGTTTTTGGTGGAGCAACAAATGTGTTCTCAGAGAAATGCTGCAAAATTATTTCTACAAGTGCTCAGCCATAGCAATGATGAATCTTCTTTTTCATCATTTTACCCAGGAGATTCTCCCTGCATGTCATGGCTTTTGGAGGCAGGAAATTTGCTGCTACCCACGAAGTTCTCTGCAGGCCCTCTATCTCTCTGCTGCTGTGATGGCTCTTTGGGGTTTCTCCTCCTTTTTTGCCTCCCAGGAAAAAATAAATTTGCAGATTCCTTGACTACTCTATCTCTCTGCTGCTGTGATGGCTCTTTGGGGTTTCTCCTCCTTTTTTGCCTCCCAGGAAAAAATAAATTTGCAGATTCCTTGACTACTCTATCTCTCTGCTGCTGTGATGGCTCTTTGGGGTTTCTCCTCCTTTTTTGCCTCCCAGGAAAAAATAAATTTGCAGATTCCTTGATTACTCTGATTCAGCATCTCCAATTTTAAAATCAATTAAATATCAAAGTGAACACACTATCTCTCCCTCTTTGAGCTCAGGTGAGGGCACCATAAATTCTGGGCACTGCCAGCAGATCCTGGGGGAATTGCTGAGATGCAGACTCAAAAATTGTTATTACAATTTACTGGGACTGGGGAGAACAGCTATTCCCTACTGCAATCCCTGAGAATTATGGGGTCAAGCCCTGGGGTCACTGAGGTCCATGAGAGTCTCACATTCATGACAAGAGTGTGACTTCACTGGTCCCTACCCAGGCCAAGCATTTTGAGGCTTTCTAACATCACACTGAGGTTGCTTATATGTTTCTCAAGTTTAGTTCTATTTAAAAACATGTAATCATTAATGAATTTTGGTGAAAACCATGTGGGAACCCAATCCCCTTTCTCAGTGCATATTTAACTAGCTAAAGAAGACCAATTTAATGCTGAATTCTTAATGTATTTAATATTTTAGAAAACAACTAAATGTATTTTTTAAAATGTGCTATTCCAGCCCATTTCTACATAGAGCTCTTTCATCTAATTCTGTTGAAAATGTGAGATAGCTTCAATTTGCTGTAAATGAAGATGGATGTGAAAACCCATTCGCCTCAATAATGCCAGGTAGGAATTTACCTTGAGGAATTTAGCACCTTTTGGAAAAGCAAACAAAACCCCAGTGCCAAGACGGTGACAATGAGTTGCCAGTTAAACAGAAATATTGGACAAGTCAAGGCTGGTGGTTAGCACTCCCCAGAAAATGACCTTTGCTGAGCTTGTTGCCCTTTGGCTGAGAATAGTTAAATAAAAAGCAGATGGAGATGTACTTCTGGTGAAGATGTAGCTGTCCTGCCAGTGTTTGCACAGATCCAACATCTGCACAAAAGTGGCAGAGCTGCAAAGCCCTGACTTCAGCAGCAGCTCTGTTTTCCAAAGCTTGCAGGGCTCAGGGATGTTCCCCCCGCCAGAAAATGTTATTTTGTGGTTGGTAATTTGGCTCCTGGTGGTACAGCATTCTATCCAGGTGCTGCTAAAAATATGGCCCTTCATTTTCTTCTGGCAGGTTAGAATAGTAGGGAATATTTATAAGGTGTGTTTTTTCCCTTCCAGTTAAAATGTGCCACCCTTGAATAAAAAGAGGAATAATTATATTTTTTTTTAAATACAATGCTTAGTTTAGGTTAATGTTGAATTTCCATCAGGCCTTGAACAGCTTGGTGAAAGCTTTCCTTAAAATAGGAACTGTCTGGGGATTGCTTGCATCAGAGGGCTAATGGGTGGTTGAAAACTTGACATAAGAAATAAACTATAAATTTGATGTTTTTGTCTCAGCCCCAGTGATTTTTGGCAAAACCTCCCATTGCTTAGTAGCTGGATGGTTTGCATCTGTTTTACTCCTGTCCTTTTAGAATAACTTGACAAAGCTGCTTATTTCTCCCTGCAGAGGAAATTATCCTCACTGACACAACTTTAATTTTTTATACTGATTGAGCACGATATCCCTCTTTCCACAGAACTGCCAGCCCATGACTGCTGAGAAGAAATGAATCTATTCTGCTGAAACTTAGTGAATTCAGATGTTTACTGGACACCAAATCACTGCAGGATGACAATGCTAAAGGACAGAAATGCTTTTTTTCAGGCACTGGTTTTCAAAGCTTTTCAAGGTACAGTCCCTTTCTCATTGATCTCTGAAGGTTTAAATAGTGGTTACAATTTCAAGATTATTTGTCATCTCTAACACCTCAGAACCTTTTTTGAATCCCATTGTGATCTGTAGTTCGATAAAATAATACTTTACAAAGCAATCTCTTGGTGAGCAGCTTCCACCAGAGATTTCTGTGATTAAGAAATAGCTCCTTGACAATAGTTTCTTCGTTTTTGAATTTCTCAAACCTTTTCCTCGGAGCAACCTAGAGAGCTGAGCATCACAAAGACTATAATACATAATTTAAGCTATTATTCTCTCGACTGAATGGTGATGTAGAACTCAGTAAGAGATTTAATTTTTTAGTTTATTGCTGCCTGCACGAAAGCTTTCCTTGCTGCAAAGAGAAGACAATTAGATTCCTGAGGGGCACAGTAATTTGCAATTGTATTCATTTGTAAAACAGAAACAAATGTCAACCCTTGTACAGCAAAAAGGGCATGGGGCCCTCATAATGGAGCAAAAAATAATAAACCTTGTAGCTTGCTAATAACTTCATTTATGTGCTTAAACAAGGCAAGAAGGATGCTTTTTCAAGCAGTGTCCCTGTAAGAAATTGCTGAACTTGGACTACACTGATAGAGAAGGCTTTATAAACCTCTTGTCATGTTCTTAGAATGATGTACTAGTGCTAGAAATGTGAAGTACTAACACCAACAATACCAAAGCAACATTCTATTGAACATTCCACTGTGCAGCACAAGACAGCTGGCACATAATTCACTGAGGACTACATTGATAGGAGCAGATAAAAGAATGTATTTGAGTTCAGGTTGTGCCAAGGTTTATTTTCCTAAGATGGGAGTTTTGATATCTGTTATCTCTCCATTGTGCCAAACAAAAATCCTGGATACTTGCTTTTTACAAAGGGCTGCCTGGGTTCTGTGATAGAATGTATTAAACTTCATTTCTGCTGTGCAATTTTATGGCATTTTCTATTTCCTTAATGAAATCTCTTGAGGAAAGAACATTAATAAAGAAATTGGTATTTAACTGTATGATCTGTGTTGGAGCCTGCAAAGAAACATTAGGAAGGAGAGCGGAACACACTGTTGGAGAAAAGAGAATTTTCCAGCCCTTTACTTTGTGTGTGAATTATTTAGTCCTGAGGTACTGAAGACACCTTCTAAGTTAATGCCTTTTCTTGGACTTCTTGGCCTGGATTTGCAGAGCATTTAAATATATGCTAATTGAAGAAATACTAAGAAAATTGACCTTGGCACTAATTTTAAGTGAAGCCTCTAATTCAGAGCAACTGTTCAACAGGTTCTTTGAGATATTTGAGCCAGCTTCTTGAAAAATGCCAGACCCAACAGAGCTAAGTGGGAGCAGTGGAAGGGACATGTGGATGCCCTTTAGATGGCTGGTGCCCCTATCTGGTCACCCAAAAACTCAGAGATAATATATGTTTGAAAATGAGGACAAAAAAAGTACCTAAGTCTAGGTAGGCTGGCTATAAAAACCTTTTTTTGGCCACAGACTTTTAAGATCTCTATCCCAGAACACAGATCTATATCCCAGTCATCTTGCTCTCAAGCAGAAGACATTTGGGTTATTCGAAAGGAGAAGACTGATCTCACACTAAATGATTTGAAGAGTTTAATGCTGAAGCAATTTGTTTCAATGGCAGAATTCCCCTGGATTTCTGAGTGGGCAGAAATGTGCCTCACACACTAACTCAGCTTTTGTCTGCTGCTGCTGCTTCTCTGTTCTGCCATCTTAGGCAACAATTTGTTCCAGCTTAAAATGAGCTTTTTTTTTGCAGCAGATTTAGAGGCTGACTGAGGCTTGGAATTTTAACTCTGTGATTCCATTGCTTCAGCCATGCCATTATTCCACAGCAGGCTTCCAGGACAAACCACCTACCTAGAGTTGGGTCGTACTCCCAGATGAACCGCTTGGTCAGGAAGCGCACCACGAGAGCTGCAGGGACAAAGGGATTTTGGGTCAGAAAGGCAAGGCATCAACTCAGCAGATTGTTTTAAAGCTTTCCCAGCAAAGTTTTCTATGTGAGTGGACAGGTAGCAGCTCCCCTGAGCTGTGAGCAGGAGTCAGGATTGATTATTGGGGCACTTGAGAACTTGTCGCTGTCTGTGGCCGACTTCACACTTTTGGATGGGGGCAACTGAACAAAACAAACAAAAAACCAACCAACCAACAAAAAAAAATCCCCCCCACAAAAAACAAACAAAAAACCAAAACCAAAAACTTTTTGCAGCATTAAAGCTTTGGATGCTTTAGGTATCCTACAACCATTGGGGAAAGTGTTGGCGGCTTTGGAACCAGCTTTGACACTTCAAAATGAGGGGTTGATCAAAATAACTTTATTCTTGAAAACTTGCCTTTGGATTGTAAACCTTGTAAGGCAGAAATAACTGGCTAAATAGCTTCCTTCTCTTTTTTGGCATGCCTTCCTTGTAACAGTTTAATTTCCACATTTTGCCTACTTGAAGAAAACGGATTAAATATTTCAAACCAATGGTCAACACGCGCTATTTATCAATTTGCAGAAATAGAAAAGAAAGTTTAGATTTTGGAGCACTGGACAGATAGTTCTTATTTTCAGTTTATATGATAAGATCTTGCTACTTATGTTCTTGTATTTAAATTTTTTTATCCCTCCAAACCCTTTAAAAACAACTTATATAGACTTTGATTATTCTTGAATTTAAAACCAAGCAGTGCTTTGAATTTCTAGTGATGCAAATGAATCATTCACCCCTGCAAACCATCCAAAATCCTTTCTGCAAATGAAGCCAGAGATATCACTGCACAAGCTATGAGTGCAGCAATTATACCTACAGAAAACTTGTCATCAGACTCAGATGATTGTTCCATCTTTTGGTTGCAGGTAGACAGTAAAACCCAGTTCTAATCCTTTTCAAAACTGAAGCCAGGAGAATGCCCTCCATCCCAGACTTCTATGCCCAACAGTAGGGTAAGGCAAGAGTCTGCAGAATAAATGTAAATGAATTAAGATTTCCTTAATCAGACAATCAGATTATTAGTTTTAAGAAGATTAATATACCTCCTCATACTTGCAGGGCTAATAAGAAGCTGATCCTAAGGAAATGAGATCACCACACAAGAAGCAAATTGAAGTTATTTTAAGTTTCTATTTGGTGTTATTTTAAGTTTCTATTTTCCTTAGGAAATTCTACTTTGATTTTTTTTGCTTAGGCTTTGCTGAAATGCTGTCCTTGTTCCTCAGAGTAGATGTGGCAACTCTTAGTCAAAGTAACTTTTAAAGCCATGGTCCTTAACTTGAATTCCATAACAAATCAAGATAAGCTCTTTGTAGCTAATTTCCCATCCATGGTGATGTTGCACCAGGACTTTTTTCCTGCACCTTTTATCATAGCTGGAATAGTTCAAGCATTTTGTTGTTTTGAAAGTTTGGTCATGATTCTTCTCTAATTGCTAGTAATAGATTCTCTCTTATTGGCTTCTTTGTCAAGAACAGATTTAAAACCAGATTTTGAGAATTTAAACAGATTTAAAATGAGTTAAAGCAGATTTTAAAAATCAAACAGATTTTAAAAAATTATAAATTTTAAAGAATTAAAAAATGCTTTCACAGCCATACTCTGAAGGAGAAGCAGTGATGGGCTACATGTGTGCTAGAGCCTGTGCCTGGACCTGGAGAAGTTAAGAAAGAGTAAAGGTAGAAAAAACCTGTCCAATGGTTTCTATACTTAAAATTGTTCCTCATATTTTATGATAAACTTGCACTTGTAAATGGAAATTGCTGCAGAGGGGAGTAGAAATGATGGAGGGAACTGGAAGTCTGTCAAGCATGACTAAGAGAGAGCTCTGAAGGGAAAGAGGGAGAGAGCTGATTTTGGAGGTGCCCAAATATGAGAGATTAGAAGGGGCCAAGCCATAAGAAGTAGAAGTAGAACTGGGCTGGAGGTGCTGAGACGAGCCTGGGAGGAGAAACCCAGGTTACATAAAACCCCAGGGTACATAACCCACAGTTATGCACACAGGATGAAATGGTGAAGGTGTGCAGTGCTGCAGAGGTGAAGAATTAGAGATCACAGGTGTAAGCTCTGAGAGAAGGGGGAGGCTAGGCTGTATTTATCTCCAGCACTTGCAGATACATAAATAATTACATGTTTAGGAGGGTGTAGAACTAAGGAAAGAAGGGTGGGAGGTGGCTGCCATGCACAGTCAGATGGCAATCAGCCTCTCTGCTGGCAGACCTCAGAGGGGAGCACAGAAAGCACAGTGAGCCACTTGCTAGGCACTGCTGCTAATAAAGTATTTTTATAAATACTTTCCTTTTCTTTGGGCCCAGTGAAGGGAAGAAAATACCCCCTTATCACAACCCCAGTGAGTGAGGAACAATCAGCTCCAGAACCGTGTGCTCTGTGTCTGTTTTTGGGGCACCTTGGGGCTGTGCAGGGCTGCTACTCCTCCAAGGCTGGCTCTGCTCAGCCTCCCTGCTTCTGACCCAGTCAAATTCCTTCAAAAATGCTGCTGCTCTCTGTCATGGCAGTGGTCACAGCGCATCCTATAAAGCTTTTCACTTCCACACATTTTTATGAGGCTGAAGATTAGCAGCTAGCTGCATTTCGCAGATGGGGAGCGTGAGAGGCTCTTGATCCAGAGCTTGTTCTGTTTATAAGTATTGCAGACCATGTTGGATGGGAAATATCTTCACTTTTGCCTCATTAGGGGTGCTCAGCAGATGGGCCTCTAACATCCAGTGGGGTATTAAAGCAATGTATGGGACTTTGCTGCCTGATTTGACTGGAAATAGACAATGGGGGAAGAGCTGGGAAGGGCATCCAAGTGCTTGGGCTGTCAGTCTGGAGACCAGCTTGCTGGCTGGTTCCTCCTGCCCCAGCAATGATCCCCTGGAGCAGGGGTATTACTGGAGCCATGCTGTTTATGTTGAGCTCACTCACTGCCAGATTACATCACTTTGCTGTAAAATAGCTCTGCCAGCAGAAGAATCAGGAGTGAGGACATGAACAATTTGCTAGGCTTAGAGCTGGAGCACTCAGATTGCTGCTGGCTTAAATGATGCTTTGGGAAAAATAATAAATCCCCCTCGTGTCCTTAGTAATGTTGCATAAAAGATGAGTTGAGATGGGCATTGCTTCCCTCTCACCTGAGCAAAGGTGTGTGTACTGTTGGACCAGTCAGTTTTACTTAGACATGTTTAATGCTGATAATGAGCCAAAAATAACCCATCAGACCAAAGAAAACCAATCCAAATGCTGGGTTTTGATTCAAAATAACATTGAGACCGAGCCTGTCTGAAACACATTATTTTCTGATTAAATTAAGTGACTAATTCCAATATTCATATTAAAATGGCCATTTCCAGTGCTCATCCTCAAATTCATTTTGAAGCAGCCCAGGCCCAGATTGATGCAGTAGTTAATAGGAGTGAATTTCATGGCTCTCCACTGAGACTAGTCCAGGGTCCTCCCTGAACACTTAGAGCTTGTGAAATACAAGAACTTGCAGGCTTGGAAGGAAAGAATGTCCCACAAGCTGCGTTGTGGATTCCTGCTGTGTTGTTTGGAGACATGACCATCACCAAGGGGAATTGATGTAACGTCCCAGCTAAGGAAGAACAGACTCATGTCTCCTTCTGCCTTTCCTGACACCCTCACTTCCAACTCAGCTGTTTGGTACAGGGCATAAATTAGGGTAGGACTTGGCACAGGACTTTCATTCACTCATGTTTTAAAATTTCTGCCTCAGAAGTTATTCTTGGAGAAGAATCATGACTATCTGTCAAATACATTTGCAGAGCAGCTCCACTGAAGACAATGAAGTTACACCAGGATTTAACATGGCATATAAACCAAGGTTATCAGCCACATAATTAATCACTTTCTTTCAAACTTGTGTGGCTGAGTCCCTTGCTCAGCTTTAAAAATCCCATTCCATATATTTTGGAACTTTTTTGTGTGTGTGTGTGTGTCACATTTTGCATCTTGCTTGAGATCTTTCTTTGGATTTAGTAACATATAAATGCTCTAGCTAAATTTACAATCTGTCTGAATACATATCTTAATGGATTTGGTATCGTTCCAGCTAAGACAAGCTGAGTTTTTTGGGGAAGAAAGGAAGCAGGGTTTTATTTGAAAAACAATCCCCTTCCCAAAAAGCTACAGAGTTCAAAGTTATTCTAAGAAAAATAACAGTTTTCCACAGTGAAATAACTGTATGATGACTCTTTTATGCCATGAGAATTTTCAGCTATAAAAATGGTCTGAAAGTAGTCCCATTATTTAACTTATCAACAAGTCCATTCCTGGTGCCATGATGATGTGTCATCAGTAAACCACACTTGGCAGGAGACACCAGAATGGTTAAAACCAAAGGTTCTAATGATCAAAAGGCACTTTCAGAAATGAAGTATTTCACTATTTCTTAAAATACATATTTTTGTTAGAGAGTTCATTCCCCATTCACCTTCTCAGAGGCCTTTTAGGTATTGGAATTTCAGCCCCCCTGGAAGATGGGGTGGGTTCCAGCCTGCAGGATGGCAGTGCTCTGGATTCTGGCTGGTGATGCTCTGCCTCCTTAAACAGCTCCATGCCCACCTTCAGGAAATAATGGTTTCTTTTAAAGGCAAAACCATGAGAATTTAATTTGCCTCTGGGAATGCAGGTCGTCTGGGGGTGTCTGTGTGTGGGGGAAAGTGTGAACTTATAAATGCAGAGTCCTTTTCTGATCCATCAGGGATGCAAGCATGCACTCATTGCCTCGCTCTGCACCCGTGGGCCTGAGTTTGACTCAGCTCTGATGGGATCTCTGGCAATTCCGTGATGTGGGGATGTGAGGGCTGGTGAGACATCAACAGCAGGACTTCTCTGCCTCCTCTCTTGGTTTGCTCACCATGGCCACTTCTGATGTTTGGACCTGTTGCAGCAAACTAGACTTTTCCTGCAGTAAAT